GTCAAGAGCAGCAAGTCTGAGAGGCTGCTCGGTGCTTGTTCAGAACCCACCTTGGGTTACACAGAAAGTGTAGGGACCAGCTTCCTACAGTTCTCAAAGCATACAGAAAACAGAACATTTCTAATCACACAGAAAAATACAGAGCCTGACGCTTTATGATTATAGAAACTTGTTGAGTCAGTATTTCTAAGAAGAAATCAAGAAAAGAAACATGCTCTGGCAGCAGTGAGAATCAATCCACAGGGACCTGCTAAACTCAGATCAAATGGATTTGGGAAAAGGGATGTGCAGCAGGGAAGAACAAGCAAGAGTTCTACCCTCTCTGGCTGTGTGCCTGGTCTGTGCTGCCCTGATAACTCAAAGGGCACTCTATGTTCCAGTTCCAAATGGAAAAGGGAAAATTAAAAAAAAAATAAAATTTGAGACAGGTCATTTCAAAGTGAAAATTCAAAGCATTTCTATTTTTCAGGTTTTTTTTCATGTTCTGATTCAAGCCACTTAGTAAAACAAGTGCAGTGACTCAGTGTCTCAGAGTTGTTTTTTGATTTCATCTTCTCTTTTCTTAAAAAAAACCCCTACTTTGAGTGAAAATGCTATTTCAGACAAAACTGCTGGAGTGTGCTGGTAGGTGAAATAACACAGTTGTTACAAGCTACAGAGCAATAAACAAACAAACACATTTTTAAAACAAGGCACTTAAGAACCTCAGTTTATGTTAAAGGATAATTTTATTCATTGTTAATGCAACTTTATGATGAGTCATATTTTCCATCATCACCACCATTTTACTACTTTACCTACTGTGTGGTCACAGTTGCGTGAAATTTAATTCATTCTAAGTACATTTTTAGACATAGGTTTTTGTCCCCTTGCCAAAATCTGAGAGCAGACTAACTTTTCCCTGCTAATAGCAAATACGTATGATGCTGCTGCAAGCACCCCTAGCACCCCTGACACTTTCCATTCTTTGGCTTACATGGAAGGCTGTGTAAGCTAACTACGATGGAGGTCGTGTTTCCCCTTTCCTAAGGGAAGGTTAATAGAGAAAGAACTTTACACTAATGCAGAATTCGATCAGTTTGTGGCAGAAGCCTGGCTATGGGCAGCTGGCTGCTGTAGCGCTGATGCTTTCCTAATGCTGTTGGTGTAACGACCTGCAGCAGGTAGCAGAACAAATACAGTTTATTTTAAGCTAGGAGAGGGGCTAGTTTCAGTTATAAGAGCTGGCTTGATTATATATGTCTTCTACCACTTACTCAAATAGTAGCTTCTTCATTGCTGTGCTAGTCAGTCACAGCTACTAAAAATCCACAGAACAAAAGCCTCATTTGGAGAAGTGTTAACAATTATTATGTGGTACCAGTGGATCAAATATTTTTTGTGTGAGCTCTCTGGTTAGTCAATAGTCTGCAAAATTTTTCTATATGCTGTAATGCAGGTCATGAGGGACCTCCAGATGCCAAATGAAGGACTAAGTCTTTCTGGTTACTTCTAAGAGTCTAGAATCACAATGAGATTGAAAAGCAATTCCAAACCCCCAACATACTCTGTGTCCTGCAGAAAATGCACAGTTGCCCCATTCAAGGGCTAATAGTGTGGCAGCTCTAACTCCTTGATAAGCTTATTGAACTGTGTTAAGAGGAGTAAATGTTAAAACCTGCACAAGTTATTCCCTTGGAACAAGGGGATTATTCAAAACCCCCCTAAGATATTACAGGAACCCCAGCCTTCCTCCCCTGCATTCACTTTACAGTATCTCTGTAGTTCTGCCTTACAGTAGCTTTGCCTACTTCCCTATATTGCTGTGCCAGCATGTTAGCAGCAGGACAGAATTAGATAGGGCTGTCCAGTGCTGGCACATCTACGAAACTCAGTATGAAACCTCACCATTTGAACAGAGGTTGGAGCCCTGAATTCTCCATGTTATAGCAAAGCAAACTGGAAGCATAAACAAAACCCAAGGACATCAATGTCAATTACTCCATTACAGTCTTTTGTTATTTCTAAAATAAGTAGGCTGAACATCAGGAAGAGTGTCAAAGGTAGTTTCTTTAACTGGACAGGAATGGATGTGGTTTTTCATCATTTAGCCATAAAAGAAGTTGAAGACTCACTGATCAAGAAGTTATTTCAAACGGTTCTATAATCAATACCTGGATTTTGATAATCCAGCAGCAGACCCAAATCATAAATCATAGCTTCTCCATGCACATCTACAAAGGAAGTCCTGAAAATAAGCAGGCTGCACATTGCTATGGCAAATGAGAGTGTATTATATCATTTCCAGTGGCATATTTGAAATTCACAGGGCTTAAAATTAGTCACCATTCATTTCAGAACATAGTATATAGAGGTGCTCAGATTGCAAACTCCTGCACTACACTTGCTGGTGAACAGCCCACAGTCAACAGCCAAACTGAACAGGAATAATACAAAAGCTCTTGTTGAGGGCTGAGGAAAAGGGATCATGCAGAAGTGCTATCAGTAGTCCTGAATCTAGAGTAATTTACGGTTCTGTTCTCTGTAGTGTGGGAAATAAAATTCTGAGCTCAAGTCACAAAGCCTAAATTTGTTTTACAAGCAGTAAAGTCAATGCTACCAACTTCACTCCCAGGTCCTGCTGTCCCATGTCATTCTTGAGTCACACTGATCACACGCATTCTGACACAGTGGACCCCGTGACTCTGGGAAACTATGCACTGCACCAGCAGTATTTAGACTTGAACAGAAACACAGAATAACAAATGGATCTTGTTTCTTGCCTACAGAAAAGGACATTTTAGATGCAGTAAGGCGTAACTCTCCAGATGATGTGCTCTTTGGTGCACAGCTGCTTTTGGCATTTTAAAGCAGAGGATGAGTGGAATTAAATATACAAAAAGCATTGTAAAGAGGACAAGAATGCACGTATTTGATTGTAAATATTTTATTTCTGCCTCCTCAATTATGAATTTACTGCACATTTGTACCAAAATCTTCCTAATGCTGTGGTTAGCCACAATTCCCCTTCTCTCTTCTAGCATCCAACCTCTCCTTACTGCCTGCAACTGCACTATACTCTGTAAACCGAATCCATTTGTCCTAGCCTGACACCACAGTGATAGGACAAGCAGAGAAACTGGAAGCAGAATAGTGTAGGTTATCAAGAAGGTCCCCTGAGGACATGGGAGCAGTATTGAGCTGAGAAAAAGAGCAGCCTGGGAAACAGGAGAGGCTACAAGTGCCCTTTGGTAAGTGATAGGGTGTGCACATATGTTATTTCAGTGGAACTACTGACCCCTAAATACTTTAGCACAAAAACCATGAGAAGCACCTTTTGCCACACATTAGTGAGCAAAGATACTACTGCTTTTATTCACTGCTATAAGTAACACTTCCCTGAGATATAATAAAGTAAGGTATCTAGTAAGTTCTTCATTGGAGTAAAATGGTTACATACAAGAACTGCATCTTGTTATACATTGGCTTCTTCCCTTCACTAAACAGGCTGAGGCTCTTTTCTCCCCTTATTTTCTTAATAAAATAATTACATAAGGCTGGTAAACTGACATCCAAGTAGTCAGTCACGTTCTCTATGACAAAGCAATACACAAAGTGAGAAAAAAAGGCAAAAATCTGTAAGTGTAATTCTCTGAGATGTATCACATCTGCAACAAGAAGTCTTACAAGTAGCTAGTACAATTTCTACTTATATTTATATTCAAAAAGCAACACAATCCTCAATTACGGTCCTGGCCTGTAAGGCTGGCAGAACACAAATTTTTGCAGCGCAAATCTACCTCTTGGTTTTAAGCTTCTTTGAAGCAGCTCAAGGAATAAGGCTTAAGTGTTCAAGAGATCCCTGAAACTGAAATGTTTGGTGACACTAATGAGTCCTCGGTTGGAGAAGTGGCAATATTCTCTGGCAGAAACTTCGGGCCTAGCTCTTTGCCATTTGTCAAGATCCATTTACACTGAAGTAAAGAACTCTAAATTAAAGCATTTGGTGCTGAAATACTGTAGCACTCTGTAAGGTTTTGTCTTTGAAACAGTAACAGCCTCCAGTATGCAGGTATCTACCAGTGTTATGCACACCATTTAGGTTACTGTTTTGAAATGCTTGCTCCAGAGAGATTCTGGTAAATGAGTAACTCTATTTATCTAAAATTTTTAAAATTATTATTCAGGGTTTGCAGAAACTGTACCTCAGCAGTTGCTTGCATGAGTTCAACAAGCAAAACATTCTGTTGTGTAAAGCATTAAGAGCATACTGCCTTTAAAGAACATTCTACAAGTTTTGAGTCCATGACAAGATTTCAATTGCTGCTGGTCATGAAACTGCAAAATGTCTGTCATTCAGCAACACTTGTTTCTCATTCTAAGACTCTGAGATGCAGTATAAGATTTACTTACTGTTGGCTGCAACTTATTTTCCCATCACATCAACTTAAAATTTAGCTTTCAGCTGTGTAAACATCCAACTCCCAACTCCCTAACATCTGAATCTTCAGAGGGGAAAAAGAAAGGGGGGAGGAAGAGAACGAAGGCAAGTGAACTTGCAAGCCTTTAAAACAGATGTTTGGTTACATCAGTGGCCTTAAAAGAACTATTAAGATATTGCAACTATCTTGAAATTTACAGATTACCACTCTATTTAAGCACAATCCATTAATTAAACACAAAAACTGGCTGGTAGAAAAGAGGACTTTGGAGCTTTCACTTCCATTTATGGGTACTTAAGGCATCAAATAAAAGTTTAAGTCATTTGTATGTTTAGGTTGCTAAATGAAATTTGATAGAAAGCATTTAAAATTCATTGACCCTGAACATTTATTTAGGTACAGAGATCCAAGCCTTTGGAAGATTAGGATCTTTTCAAGGAAGATGAAAAAGTAATAAATGGTATTGCCATTTTTCTCAACCCTCCCCCACTACAGAAAATAAATTTAAGGCTTGTTTTTTATGATGGAGTTATTAAGGATAAACATTAACTCTGGAATGAAAAATGTACTTACCTTTTATAACTTTGTTGCTTTTTAATATGTCAAAAAGGCGATGTTTGGTTACAAACACGAGCTTATTACAGCCCCCAGCTCTTCTCTCCCTAAAAAAGGGGTCAGTGGGGAAGGGGGTTGAGGGGGAGCAAAAGGAGAGCTATCGAGTGAATAAAATTTAAGATTTCTTGCCTTATTGACTTATAGCTTTTGTTTAACCCACGAAAAATTAATCTCTTTCAAATGCACTTAATTATAATCAAACACCCATATCAATGTCTGTCAGCACATCAGCACATCTGGCAGCAATGAAGACAAATTAACAATAAGTCAAAAAATCTGGCAATATAATCAACTAAAGCACGCAAAATCCACTCTGTACACTTAGACCACCAGCAACCAAGGATGGATTAACTTCCTGTCTCTAATACTGGTGCCTAAAGTAAAGGGAAATTGCATTGCAATCTGGGTACCAGGTTTCTGGCTACAACTAAAAGCCCTTAACTCAGCTACACCAGGCAATGAAATCTTTGCTCGAGCTTTAGCCATGATGCCTGTGATGGCCTACTTTAACAGCTGCATTTAATTTAGTTTAAAAGAAGATATCTGGCAACCATGTAAGTTTGCACCTTCAAAGCAGACAGATTTAAAAAGCCAATCTCCTATAGTAACCACTTTAGAATCTCACTGTTCTAATGGAGTGATGACAACAAGATTCACAGATTTTTAAAATAGTAGGTATCCATACACAGAAAACCAAAATAGAGTGTTTTCACTTAGTTTTAATTACTATGTTATAATAAGCAATCCTCTTTCTCCAACTTCTTAGAGTTGAAGATATTGTGTTCATTACTGTAAATATAATCCAGCAAGAATTCACAATTGTTCAACTTGACCGACCACAGATCTCATTTATAACCAGAGAAAGGCAGCCAAGTAAGGAACAGAAGCACAAATTAAACCAAAGTAAACATTATCTTGTACTTGGATTGCCTTCTCATGTTGGGCGTGGAGTGGTCGTAGAAGCAAAAAAGGAGGGAGAAAGGGTATGGGAAAGCAAAGACTCAGGCATGCACTGCATATTTGGCAAACACTGAACACTAACCCGCTCAGAAAAGAGCAGTGTTACCAGGTAGATATACAGTGCCTTTTTTCTTCTTCTACTGAATAGCTTGATATGAATTTGTGCATCTACTGTGTATATCCTCCAACAAATGCAGGCACACTACAACACAGGCATGGAAAAACTGGCAGTACTACAGCCTTGTGTGCACGAAAACTGGGAGCGTGTGCGCACAGTGGAAATTCGCTAAGTGGAAAAGACTTGCATACTTATTTTGGTTGAAATAGCTTCAAGCCACTTTTCCAGCAGCCATGGCAGGACCACACCAACTCTTTGAAGATGAACATATTTTACACAGTAAATCTAAAGGTACAAGTTTAGGTCAAACAAAGGTGCAAACATGCATCAGAAAACACTGTCTAGAAACGTAATTCACACTGTTCATTCTTCATACACTAATGTGGGTCAGAGACCACACAGCAGCAGATTTTATTAAAAGTAATGTGCAAATAAGATGCATGATACCTGCAAACAGCATGGAGTTTCCATTTGTAAAAAGGTACAAGTAACAGTAAAAAATTAGAATGCTTACTGCTCATTTCAATAAAATGAAGTCTGACATAGAAATACATGTGCTGTATTATTTACACCATTAATTTACAAAATATATTTGCATTAAAAAAGCTATAAAATAATTACAAATATAGTATTTTTATAAGGAATGTTTTTTCAGTACAACAAACGAAGAGCACTTTGGCAATTATGCTTTATTGGAATAAAAATACATTTTTTTCTTCAGAATTCATAGCATCATGTGGTTTCTTTCTTTCCTTCTTCTTTTCCTTAGTCTCTTTTTAAATAAAGTTTCATACTGAGGTAGTAGTATGTCAAAGTATTTCTTTGGTTCCAGAAATCAATAGCAAGTCCAAAAAGAGCTATGTATCCAAATCACAGGATTGGAAAGTAGAAGTCCTAAAGTTTTCAAATGATTGTTTGCAAGTATAAAAGCTATTTTCTCCTCTAGAATCTGTCCTTTCCTTTCCCTCTTCATCTGCCTCTGCATCAAAGTCCAGTGAGGCATGATGATTATTACGGGAGGTTTTTGGTTGGCAATTTGCTGGCTGCCTACAACTTGAAAGAGTGTCCAGCTGAGGCCTCCATAAAGGCTTTCCAAATGTTCCTGAAAGACAGTAAAAGAGTGAGTACAGAAATACCGATGCTAACAGCTTTGTGCCTCACCAAGGGCTGCATGTTGGAATGCAAGCCAAAGATTGACAGAAAAAGTTCACCATAGTGAAATTTTACTTCACTGTTGTTTTACCCCTTAAAAGAAAACATCAATGTGATCACAAGCATAAAGCAAGACTCCGCCATCTGAGACATTAAAAACATTTCCAAAGCAATTGTATAGCCACCCACAACTTTCTTTCTTTTGTTTTCATGACTACTTCCATACCCATTTTAATTTGGAGAGGGTGGTGAGGGAGGAGGTGGGAACGCAGACCAAACTGCAAACGCAAGACACTTTCCAATGCAAAGGTCACAGCAGTCTCCCTGTTTTGTTCTTCAGTGAACGAATGGCACATACCGTCTGCCATGTAGTTCAGAAAAAATAAAACAGGTTTTTAAAAAAATTTAACTCCTGACCTGTATTGCGTTACGCAACATCATCCCACAGTGCAATCCAAATGCTAAAGAAATCTTTTTCTGGCTAGCATGTCTCATTAATAATAAAAGTCCAGCTAGCCACACGCTCCATTCATAACTGATCATCTAGCCATTTGTGGGTAAAGAGAACAGTTGTAACCCAACGAGAATTCAGCATTTCAGTTCAATCTTTATAAATAATTATCTGGATTTACTAGTCAGAAAATAATTAGCATCAACACCTCTGCAAGAAGGGCCTTCTCTTTTTTTCATTGATACAGCTATCGCAAATCAGCGTCTGTAAGAGACGCTCAAAAGACTTATTTTTAGAGGAAAACATGCCACAGGCTGATTTTGAAGAACTTGAGTTTTTATTAATAACTTAACACTACTATCTTTAATAAATTTTGAACCCAAACCACCACACTTTTGCTTTTGCTTAGGGGCTAGAAGCAAGGGTTTTAAGTAAAACTGTCACCTGAGAAGTTACTAAAAATGGAATTGGACAAGATCCACATTTGCATCAATGATTTGTAGAGCAATTTTAACCTAATACAATACGAAAGGATGTTCCTCACAACAGCAAAGCTACAAATGAGTCCTATCTTAAAAACCAAAATCCAAGCTATGAACTTCCTGATTCATGCATTGACAGTAAAGTTAATTCCAGTTGTCTTCTTCATTGTGATTGTATAAGCAAAAGGGGAGTTGAATTTGAAGACAATGCTAAAAAAGTGGATTCACAACTAAGGACAAGAAATCTATCACAACTTCTTCCACAGTCACCACCTCCGAGATCTAGCCATAGGTTCTTTGAGGCAAGAGTGCTAATGATTAAAAAGCATCCAAGGCAGTGATGATGCAACTTAAGCGGGGTAGTAGCCTAAGAGAACTGATGAAAAGAGTAGCTCTGTATAGATTTTTAGGGCAAAAAGAGGACTATGTGCCCTTGATATGGCATTAACTCCGGGGTATACGAATGTACAGCTGAACTACTTCCTGCAGGAGCCCTATCCACACAGTCCCACCACAGTAATAGTGGCAGGCAGCCAGGGGGCCGGCCACGTGTAGTCGCAGGGCCTCTGCCACATGTCCTGGCATCTGCAACATTTTATAGTTCAAACATCTGGCTTTCGAAGGGGGAAAACTTCAGAGGTTGTGCCTCCCTCCCCACCCCCTGAGAACAAAGAGCCCAGTGATGCACATTCCCCCAGGTCCCCTTGCAGAGCCATGAGACCCAGGCCTTGATCAGCCAATGCTGACACACCAGCCGGGAAACAATCCACGGTACCAGGGCTGTGCTTGGTGTAAAGATATCACAAGGATGAGAGCAGTATGTGGTTTTATATGCATTTTAAACCAACCAGCCCAACCAATATCAAAAACTTAAGAAGCTTCAAAGGTAAAGTTTTTCTCCTTCCCCCCATCTCTTCCTGCAATCTGGATTAAAATTGTAAACCCTGAACTAAACTTTGGGAACTCTTTTTTGTCATACAAACCATGAGAAAAGGACAAAGGGGGGTAGAGAGAGCATTTTTACATAGTGCCTTACTTTGAAGGGTAAATAGTTCTGGCTCCCTATGTTACATGATACATACTCATACAAGTTCAAGTCTCCCCACCTGCCCTGAGCCCTCCTGAGACCTTGCATACCCTTTGCCTGTTATGTATCCTAACATTTACAGAAATTTGCCATCTATATTAAGACAGAAGATAAGAATCACATCACTGATGAGACTTTCATGTAAGTGTGAGCTGTTAAGACATCCCAGTAACCTAAATATTCTCATCACACAGTTTTACTATAACCACTCCTCTGTTCCTCAGTTTAAAACATTTGGGAAAGAAAAAGCTGAGAAATCAGTTTTGCTTAGTGTTGTAAGGAGGAAGCAAGACAGCAAGCTTGAATAAAAAACAACAGCTAGAACATACCCATGAAAGTGCTGTTACTCATAACAGATGAGGGTTCCAAACTTCTGTTTAAATCAAATGCGTCCAAGTTCAGACTTTTGCTTTTTAATCCAGTTCCTTCATTTTGAGTATAAATAGAATTAATCAATCTGCTACTTGCAGCCTGCATCCCGATAATGCCAACACACTGGTCAAAGGGATCATCCAGTGGAGGCAAGTATTGATAGCATTCCTTTTTCCTTAAATATCCAGACTCATAAGGATCCAAGCATGCCGTTCTTTGGTCAGGGTTGCAACCTAAAGAAAATGAAAAATTGTTTTCATACAGATTCATCATAACACAAGATTGAATTAGGACTAAAACTTCCCCCCGCCAACTTACTTGCATTGTATGCTTCAAATGCATCAGAACTATATGTGTTTCCTTTTAAATACAAAGTCCCTGAAGTCCCCAGATAGTGGCATAGGAATGGATCTGCAACACCCTCCAAGTCTGTTTCACTGCTGTTATCTAGATGGCAAATGCCTTAAAAATAAAATTGACATGTCAGTATAAAATCTTTTCTGAATCTTCGGCTTACAGTTTCTTTAAGAACCCCATGTGTTCAACTGCATTTCATAGTGTATTTTAGAGCTTGATTAGGTTCAACCTAACCTTTTGATGAGAATTCTAATTCCAGCAAGTGTTCAATTAATTAGCTTAACAGAGAATGTGTCACACTTTGCTTCATGATACAACCCCTAAATAACAAAACCAAACCCATCACAGGGATCAAAGCCAGGGACGACTTCTAAAGCACTGGAAGCCAGGTTATGCTCTGTCTCACAGATACCTTTTGGAGCCCAGACTGTCAACACAAAAGTCCTGGGTGGAAGAATCTGAAGGAGTCACTGGCTGCTTGAACAGCTATAGAGATTTTCAGTTAAAATGTTCCTGAAGGTGTGGACATGGTCTGTGGTTCTTGGCCCACAAAGAGGTTGCTCCTCTCACTACCCTACAATTGTAGCACTATCTCACCACCACTTCATTGCCACCTGTTCCAACTCCCGATTGTATCTCAATCCCTACCTCTTCCCAGCAAAGTGCCTTTTCCTCCCTAATGCACGTATGTTACACTAGATTTTCAGGCGTCAGATGTATAAATACCAAGTACTGCAGCATAAGGTAATTTGCAGTCACTTTAAATCTCTTGACTCTGACCCTAATGACTTTTCTAACTGGCAAGTTTAAAGAGTTAAACTAAAGTTACACTGGTATTATCACATATGCCCACATTCCATTAAAGGATCCTTTTCAAGCTGTAAGAGCTGAAGACAAGCTGTTGCTTTGGACACTTCTTTTGGAAATGTGATCATCAGTTTAAATTTACCCTTGAGATTAGAGAAAAACTTCATAATTTAATAAAAGCCATAACGTTATTTGGATGAAAAGATCCGAGTTCCTGTTATTATCTTTTTGAAGCAATATTAAGCAATAAATTTCACATCCTCAAACTTCAGTAAAGACGCTTCTTTAGTGTTATTTCTACTAGTCAGAAAGACAATAGCAAAACTACAGCTACTCAAGCAACATAGAAAATCTGCTTAGCATTTTATACCTACCATTACTGTCTCTCTGCTGCAAGAAATACCCTCCCACAGAAGAAGTGAGGAACTGATGATGACTGCCATTTTCAGATGAGCCATATCCATCCTGCCTTTCAGCTAGTGTCCCCTGGGATGACAGGTAACTGGGAATGTCAGCAGGTAAATTTGTTTCATCTGTGGGGATGCAAAACACATACAAAAGCCATCAGCATACTTCAGTTTGTAGAAGTACTTATAAATTTGTCAGCAAAGCACTGAAAGTAACAAGTAATACACTCTTCTGAGTCAAAGCACTCAAACGTTCCTACAATAAAGTCTTTGCGAAGCAACCACAAACATTTTTTTTCCTTTCCAAGGCAAACCTTCAGTTTACACACCTGTATTTGTGATGCTGCAATCTTCATTCCTCCTTCTTGTGTGGTAGATGATGATTACCCACACCAAGGAAGTGCCCACCACACAGCAAACCACAGCTATGATCACAATGCCAACTGTGGCCCATCCATCATCATCAAGTGATGGGGCAACATTTTGAGGAGAATCACAAGTGGGAGTAGGAATTACATTAAGACGGATGTTGCCGCGTTCTGTCCCAAGCGTATTAGACATTTCACAGGTGTATTTTCCAGCATCTTCTACATCTGTATCCACAATAATTAGTAACTGATTGCCTGCAGCAAAGAAATGTCTTTCTGTTACCACGAGAGGGCTGTCATCCTTAGTCCAGTTCAGTCGGGGTGGAGGACTCCCACCAGCAATACACTGCAAGACTGCAGTTTCCCCTTTTGTTACAGTTCGATCCATCAAAGGCCGCAAAAATGATGGTGTTTCTGAAAAGAAAGTACAAGCCTTATATCCTAAATGACCTTGCAAAAATGAGAACATGTCCCTTTCCTTCAGAGCTCAAGAGGAAAAGCTAAATTAAATGCATCAGTAAGGCCTAATGAAGCTTATTCTGATTCTCAGAAAAAACTCAAGGACTCTGACTTTAGAGCCTACAATTTACTTGTCAACTGATCGGCCCTAAATGCTTGATTACCTCAGAAGGTAAAAAGGCCAAATCATACACGCTTAAGGCTGCAGAGAACTAGAATAAAAATGATTAACAAAATGTAACAAAATCAAAAGTTAAACAAAATCTACTGTCTCTGAATGCAAATAGAAGCCCCTTTGCCCTACTCCCCCCCAGCATATGAGCTGTGAAGACACTCATAACTAACTAACTAACATAACTAACTTTTATTATTTTGCATCACAATAGTGATTACGCTATTAAGGATTGCCAATATCTTACCTAGTACTGTTAATGTTGCATTAGCTGAAATGCTTCCAGCAGTGTTTTGAGCTGTACAGCTATAAACACCTGTGTCCTCAATCTTTACATCAACAATAAAGAATACATCATCTTCAGGCATGACATGCATGCGCCTCTTGCGCGCTGCAGGAAAATCTGTTCCACCATCTTTCTGCCAAGCAATCTGTGGGACAGGATGCCCAATTGCAGCACATTCCAAACGTGCCATTGCTCCAGCTCGAATGGTTAAGTCCATGGGGATCTTTGTAAATGAAGGTAGCACTAAAGAAAAGTTAGTGATACCAAAATGAATACATGAAACATACGTTTTCTTTTTTGCACATTTTCTTAACACCCTTTGTTGGCCTAAAAATGCCAGAGAAGCACACAACCTAAATTTATCAGTATCCAGCAGAGAGAAACGGAGGGAACTGTGAAGTATGTGAGACCCCCTAGATCCAAATCTCATTTCTGCAAACAGCCTCCTACATGACCTTTCCGCAGCACCTTGAAACAAAGCATACACTTACCTCCTGTGAAGACAGGATTAATGTTTTTTCCATCTTGTAAGATAGATTTTGTCTATCTATAAGATTTACTATGAATCTTGTTACTTGTTTTTTCCTATACTATGCTTCAACACAATGGGACCAGATGTAAAGCTGAATGGTCTGATCTTAGAAGTAGATGTATTTTAAGAAATAATCTCAGCATATTAAGGGATCTCTTAAAAGATGCAGATGATGAGAATGGAAAAACTGTGTTTACATATCTTGATTAAAATCATTCTACTTTTAAGGCCACAAGCAAAAAGTAACATACTTACTGTTTACTGTAAGTTTGGCTTTCACAGAGTAAGATGAACCAAAGTGATTTGAAATAACACACTGGTATTTCCCTTCATTACTGAACTCAACGTTGCGCAGTCGAAGGATGGTAGTGTACTCCATCACTTCACCGCCCTGTGCCCGGAGGTGTGCATAATTCTCCATTTCAGCATCTTGCAGTAATTCATTGTCTTTCTTCCATGCAAAAGTCATTGGGGAATCACTGCTGCTGGCTGCCGAACACACAAAACTCAAATTGGAGCCTTTGATTGCTGACTGGGTTTCTGGCTGTACGGTGATCTGTGGTTTAGGAAAATCATCTGCACAGAAGGGAGAAAAAGTAACACAGGGCAAGAGAAAAAAAAAATAAAGGTGAGGCCTGAGGACTCTTTTCAGAAAGAGTTTGTAAGCCTTGTTTTATAGGTTTGAGAGAGGAGTCAGATAACTGTTTATAAAATGGATACACAATGCTTTCGTTTTAAACTTCACTAGCCTTAGCTAGTGAAGATGCCATATTTTATGACTAAAGATGCCATATTTTATGAGTTTATTGTGCCAAGCCATCTCTCATTGAAAAAAAAGCACATTTAAAATCAGACTACGTGTATAGTTTGTTTAATAGCAGCCCTGAAGATGGAAGAACTACCCCCTGACATCCATAAGAACTATTCCCAACATCAGTCAAGAAGCCTACCCTTCATATTTACAACACCTGAGGCTGCTGTGGGTTTTTCTTTATTGAAAGCACAGTTCTTCTGCCATCAGAAACTGTAAGTTATAGTCAAGGGTTTTACCCAAACCCATAAACAAAAAATCGTGTACAAAAGCCAGTGTTTCAGTGATCTGTGGCTGTTTGGTCCAAAAAGGATAAAGATCCCTTAAGCAGGACAGCACACAAGAACTTCAAGACATTAATTTCTGGAGGTCTCTTTACCATTGAAAAGTTACCTTCAAAGTGACATGCTGTGAGTTTACAGAATTTATTGCCTTCTGAATTATTTATTCGATTGTATGTACACTGCATGTATAAAAGGAGTGGGCAATTAGATGCCTGGTCTCCCAAAAGCAAAAGCCTTAGCATATTCCCAATTTTCAAGATGTCTCCAATCTCCTGAAAAACTTCACAGGAACTGCAGGAAAAGGCCTGTGCCCCAAATACTCCTCCCTGCACAAGAGTCCATTTTTATCTAGCCCCTTGTCTCCTTACATCTCATTTGTTTGGGAATCACGTATCAAGGTCAAAGTGTTATTTCTTAAAAGAACTTTCACGCTGTGTGTTACAAAAGAAAATAAGATGTGCAGATAGCCTAGCCTTGAGCTGCCTGCAAAAGATACGCGGGTCTGAAGCTGTGCTCCAGTGACAGGGCAACGTGAATCTGGGACTCTAAGCAAGGACCTTAAGAATCTCCAAGGCCATTTGTTTTTCATGCCTCATACCCATGCCTTAAGTCCTCCATGACAAACTATACAATTTGAGAATTAATTTGATACTTTCACTGACTTTGCACAGAGATAACTAAAGTAAAGCTCTGTAAATACTTAAATTAGCCTTGTGAGAGGACAGGAGAATATATTTTAATCTTAATTATTCGACAGGAAGGGGGGGATAAAAAGGTCACTCAAATAAGCATACAGTACAGAATACAGAAGAACACACCAGGATAATACAGGCACTGTGTTTTGTCAGAAAAGAACTATTTGAATGTGTATTTGGATGAATGTATCACAGAGACACACATTTATACCCACATTTTAATTTCACACAGGAGTCAATACACTTCTCTTAAAAATTCTATAAAAGTAAAAGCAGTCATTGTAAACTCGTAAGGCAAGGAGTGTACACCCAAATGTCTAGTGATGGTACACTTTAAAGATTTAAGTGAATCACTTATTTGATTGCATTAAGAGATTTTAGTTACTTCTGACAATTACATTAAGTATTAAATATAACAACTATTAGTACATTCCCTTTTGCTAATACATCTTAAAGGGTTTGAAATGAGTTAATTAAAAATGGCATTCAGCAGCTAAAAGAAAGGTCACAATTTGTTAAAGCCCCTGGTTTAACAAATAAAAGTTATATATTTAAATTCCCAATTTAATTTTTTGACAGAATGAGTTTCTCATAAATAAGGATGTATATTTCATATATACTCCTTTAACCACCAAGTAATCTGTAATTTTCTGCACTGTCAACTTCTCCTTTCAGCAGTAGCCAGCACCTACTCATTATTTATTAAATATTTGACTGCTAATAGAAAGAGAGAAAACAACATTTTTGTATACTATTTTATACTCCGTACCTGCTTTCCCACTGAAAAAAGGATATGAGCAGCAACAGTAAAAATTAAGTAGTTATATTTGTTATGAGAGGAAAATTATTGAGAAGATAGTTACTGTTTTGTCTATGAAGAATACAAAGTTTGAATCCTTTTTAGTAAAAAAAATGTATTCAACAAAAATACAAGAAATCCAGTTAGCTTTTAATTTCCTAATATTTTTGCAGTTCCCGTTTTATGTATCAGAGTACCTAAACACACATCTTTACTCTGAATACTCAGCTTCACTTTGCTTTAAATAGAGAACACAACATACAGGTGAATAATGAATGCTACTAAACACACACAGAAAACTTTCATTTTTAAGGCAGATACTATCACCTCAAATTCTCAAGTAAAAATATTTTACTAGCATTTACTATCTGGTAAACTGAAATACAAAATATCAACAGTGTAAATGGAGGCACACACATATATCACCACGAACTATTGAGCTTTCCCTTGTACATTATGCTACGTACTATGTAAGCAAGCTGTACATAAAATAAAAGCCAAAAGACTGTCACTCCCCAACTTGTACAAAGCTACAAGTTTTGAGCATCTACATCACAGTTTGGGAACAGAAAAAAATGTTAATAAATATCAAATCCTCTCCATTTTATTATAGAAATCAAAACATATCGAAGAAACTACAACAAAAACTAAGCATACAGCAAAATTTTTCTATGGAATGAGAAATAGAGGCTATACTTACCACAGACAAACCCATCCAGGCTGACAGCAAAAATACTTCTCCCTTTTAGCAGTTGAGGATGGGCACAACTGGCATTTACAAAGCTCTGGAAGCTGTTCTCTGACATCCACTGTGGTAGCCATTTTAACTGGCAGTCACACAAGAGACTCGATGTGTTGAAGTGCCTGAGAGAAAGCAGTTACACTCAAAGTCGGTTTGTTTGTTTTTTCTATTTGTATTACGTATCTATATGAGCACACATTAGTAACAAAATAAATTTTGAGGCTAAACACATGTATCACAAGAGAAAAGACAGCAATATTGTTCAGCTCAAGTGTAGTGACACTATTGTCATGACTCCTACATTCTACAAAACAGACACGTTATCCTGAACTCCCAGCTTCTGCTACAAATATGAGTACAGGCAAACAGGCATATTTGTGCTGTATCAGGTACAAAAGTACAGTCAGCAGTAGGACACCTGGAATGGGCATGCAGGAGAACAGTGCAGAAGGCAGGCACTCTGGAAGTCAACATCTGAGACAGCTTCATTCTGTCATTTCCCTTTCAGTCAGAATTTATCTTGGCAAAGATATTTAAAAAGGGGAGTGGGGAGACAGAGAATAGTAACTTGTTGAAATAACTTGTGCAGAACTTACCTAACCTGTGGGAATATCTACACTCACACAGTGAAAAAATAAAAAAGCAAAGAAATATTCTGGTAAGCATCTAGAATCAGGAGTTCAAGCAGGAAGAGTTCTCGTTTTTGGCTGAAAACTCAAAATCACCCTTAAAAAAACATATTAAAAAACCACATTCAGTAGTAAAATACCTCTCTTCAAATCTCACCTGTTCTTGAAAGAAAAGCAAAAATAATTTATGGATCCAGGGAGATATACAGCTTTAAAGATAAATGAAGACATAGTAATTCTTGATTTTTTTTTTCTTGAAGAAAAGGAAGAGTGTCTCTGTGCTCTTTTTCACATTAGCACTGCATAAAAACCTAGGGATGCCAGCTCACCAGTTTACATTGAGATGAAACAGGTCATCTTTCACTTAAGTTTTAGAATCATTCTTGTTATTTTTATGAGCAGACAAACCACAATTTTTTTGCTATCCTGATGAAGTAGGTAGGTATCTGTCATATTATTTTCCTCTAGGGCCTCAGAATAAAACTATCAGATATGAAGTTATACTAAATAATCTCACTTGTGGGAAACTACTTTCTACCATCTGTCTGTATCTTCCTCAGACATAATCTGTCTACCAGGTGTTTCAAGAAAAGTACAGGAAAAACAACACCAACAACTCTTCAATAGTTATTTCACTGAAGTTGTTTACAGTCTAGTATCTTACAGCATCTTACACCTCCTGGAGCAGTGTTAGCCTGTCTTTCTATCACATTTGATCACTCTTCAAATCATCTATATCAATTCCTAACTGTCAGCACTGTGCTCCCAGTTCTCCTGTGCCAAACTAGCAACTGCCTTGAAGCTGGCTGAGTGAGTTCAGCAAACTAATCAAGAAATACAACCAGGTCCAACTCAAGGAAGAGGAAAGGCAGAAAACCCCTGGCTACGGGTAGAACCATGGCTTCTGTTTTCTAGAGCAGCTACAGCACAATATGGGTAACATTCAACTGAATTTCAAATGAACCAAATACTGTCTAGATACAAGAAAAAAATATTTTACAGTGTGAACAATCATACACTGGAACAACATGTGACCTGGTGGAGTGCCCAGGACTGGAGGCTTTCAAGACACAACTGGACATGGTTCTAGATAACCTCATCTAGCCACCCTTTTCAAGGAAAGGTAGGACCAGATGACCCTTTTAGGTACCTTCCAACCTGGGCTGTTCTCTGAGTCTATGAAATATGCAAGGTTCCTTGCTACTTTCTCTATGGCACTCAACATGGAGTAATTCTGTAAGATGAACAGAGAGCCAGCTCCCAATGATACTCGATAGGAGTCTGAAGAACACAAATGAAAAGCTCCAGACGAGCTTCAAGCAGTTTCTACTCATGAGAGCAGCATCTTTTTGTTATTCTTTAGTTTGCTGACAGATTATCTACAGAGCAGTTCAGGCCAACAGGTTTGACTAGATAATGCTGATAATAATAGAGGAGACACAAGATATATATGCAAGAGGAAGAATTAGCTGCGCTTAAAACACAGGGAGCAGTGACAATGTTGTTCCGTATTGATCAATAGAAAAAAATGGTAAGAGGACAAAAAGAAAATCCTCACTAGAAGAATACATTTTTCCCAGTGACCGCTTCGCTACTTCTCTGAAGATCTGTCCCTTTGCTACTATAGGACAGAAGGACCCAATTACAAGCACTGACAACCAGGTCTTTACAAAAGAATTGCAGCACTGTATTTCACTGGTCCAGTAAGCTTTAGCTCAATGATAGCACTGCTGATCTTATAGCATATTACATCAGTCTTCCTTATTTAAAACCCATCAGAGATCAGTCAATTTAAAATAAGGACTTTTTACAGACACCAAATGTAGCAGAAAACAAATGCCTCCTATCCCACACTCTCTCACTTAAATACACCCATCATATAAAAAAATAAAAGAACCCAAAACACTGACAAACTTTTTATGTGACTTCAGATAGATTACAGCACAACTTTATCACTGCATTAGGTGACATCTTACAAGGCTTTTATTTATATATTTATATATATATATATATTTAATAGAGGTGATGCCTTTTGATAGAAACTTACAATTCTTTGAGTTTCTTCATTTGTGAAAATGCATTTCCTTGAACTGACATAATTGCATTGTTACTTAGATCTCTAGGAAAACAAAAGAAAAATAACATTAGAGGAAAGTAGTAATTTATTAAACTGAATATATTTAAGACTCAAGGAATAGATTGCTATTCTAGTGATATACAAAGGATCCTCAAGCTCTAAAGTGAACGAGACACAGCTAAGGAGTTTTATAGCACACTTAATATACAACACTTTTTGCATTAATTCCAAAATACTCAGCATAACTCCAAAACTGAAGAACCTTCTAAAGATCACAGCAGCAACCATGGTAATTGTATTTCATCCAAAGTCACAAGTAAAGCTTGTTAGTCCCATTTTTATTTCAATTAGTATCAAAATTATTTTTTTCCAATTTTGGGTTAAATGTCAATTTCTACTACTTACAAGTGTTCAAGTGCATCCAAACCAGAAAATGCTTTCTTTGTAATGGATCTAATCCTGTTTCCTTGGAGCATCCTAAAAAATTTAAGCACATAATGCAAAGAAGATGAAATTAAATCAAGATTATTTTTGAGCTGAATAATTGTGGGTTTGGCATTTGTTTCCAAACCGTGACTAATATTCACTATTAAGCCATGTCCAATGCAGCAAAATCTCTCAAATCTAAAAGATATTAATTTATTTACCTTGAATAAATATCTAGATTTTACCATAATTTTAGAAGACATTTAAGGTGTACAGTTAAGTGACATGCATTATTCTAAATATATACATATAAACATCTTTTTATTTCACAGATCTGCATTTGAAAATCTCAATGAAATGAAGTCACCTCCATTGGATGCTGCATTACTTTATCAAATACTATCTCTGTCACTATGCCTTTGTCATAGGATATATTTATTATTTTGTATTATGGGAAAGCCTCATTCTTTGATAAATATTTCCGGAAGTAGTAATAATAATTAAAATATTTCAGATTAGTTTGACTTGAAAAATCTGAAGTTTCTTTTATAGAAAAGGAACATCTTATATAGAATAAAATGGTAAGGGAGAAAAAAAATCATCTCAGCTATGGAAAACATAACATCATTAAGTGTTGGGCTTGTACCCTGAAACACACACAAGCTAAGCGAATTTTTTTAAGGAATGATGATATACAAATATCGTAGCAATACTCACAGCTTCCTAAGTTTATCTAGGCCAGAGAAAGCACCATTCATATCTTCAATAGTCCAGGATATTTCATTGTTTTTCAGATCCCTGTTTAAGAGGGATGGGGAAATCAAACCACAAAAGCTATTAAAAAGAACAAGGTATATAATTCTTTGACAGCACATTTTATTAAAAAAAAAATTCTAAAATAGCTTTCTGGTAGGCTGTTTTTTTGTTTAGTCATTTTTTGTGTTTTTTTAAGAGAAACTTTTCCTGACTAACTATTTCAATTTTTACTGAGAGACTGATTCTTAGTACTTTTCCGACTGATAGTTAAAAAGATCACAAACTCAAAAGTTTTCAGAATCATTAGCAAACAAACCCACATTCCCCTCCAAGGCTATTCAGATACAGGACTATTATAAGAGAAGGAGCATCATAGGAAGGGAAGGGATCATGCCCAAAACACATTCATGTCTTTTTAAGTTCATAGTATTAACACCCAGAGAACACCCAGAGAATCATTTCTACATCCCAAAACATCCACAACATTCAGTTATCTATGAAGGATAAAGAGATTAGAGATTTGTGTACAGAGTGGTGTGTCAGCAAAGAATCAACAGGGTAGGACTAGAGGAGAAAGAAAAATCTAGGAGGAAAAGCCTAACAATTCCTAGACAACTCAAAATTCTGACTTCCTCTCTTTATGATCTACAACTCCCTGTATTCTTAAAAAAACATAGCATACATCCCTTTGAAATACATCTGTGCTAGACCCCCAAAGTATCAGTATGTCAGCAAACCCCTGGAAGTAAAGTGTTAGCATCCTTTTAAAAACCTAGAGGGAAAGGCAATCATTTTGCTCATCTGGCCAACAGATGGGTCAATTGTACGCAATGGGACAATTTTAACAAAGTAGAATATATTTAGATTAGTTTACTTTGTTCTTCCCCTTCCTTTAAGAAAGGGGAAGATTTCAAAACATGCTCAAATGCTTAGAGCAATTGTCCAGTCAAGATAAGCATCAGCATCCATAATAATACAGTTTGAGTTTTGTCTTCTTATTTGTACTATGAGGGAAAATGTTGATTTATTTAAGACACAACTATGATTCAGATCCCTAAAGCTGTGGGTAGCAGTGCTGCTCACTGCCTTCAAATGGAGACAGGTCTTTCCCATAATAATGCTACTGAAAATTCATATAATAATTACCACAATCCATTGTGCACAGCCTTAACAAAAGACGAACTATTCTGAAAATAAATCCTACTGTAAGAGAAACATACGCTGATAAGGGGAAGGTAACAAAAGGTTCCTGTATATTTCACAAGGAAAAGAACTAACTGTAAATGCTGAGGGTTTTTCTTAAGGTTTTTAACCTTACAAATTGAGTTTGTCAACTTACAAAATCTGTAGACTGGAAAGTCCCCTGAAGGCACAATCAGCAATGTAATTTACTTTGTTGTTTCCAATGTATAGTCCAACCAGCACGCTTAAACCAATGAAGCTTGAATCATCTAACCTTGCTAATTGATTGAATGTCAAATCTCTGCAAATTTAAGGGGGGAAAAAAACATTTTAATGTTCAACTGCAGTGCTTATTTAACTCAGATCAACCCAGGTGAATTTTTGGGAGGAGCACATCTTTTCCCCTTACAGTTATCACAAAACTACTACACCATTTTTGACCACACTCTTGTGCATTGTTTCAAACAATTCACAAATTACTGCAGAATGAATTTCTTTCATTTGAAAGTGACTGTTACAGCTTTCGTACAACTCCCACAGTGAAATAAAGCAGTCACAGTTGACTACAACTTCTTTCAACAAAATATAACTCTCTCATACAGAAAAGTTGTTGTCACCTTGGAAACTCTGTTATGAAAAATTCACAGATCAGTAGTAAGAATCTCATGCTTTGACATGTACCCGGCTTTCAAAACTGGAATAGAATAAAGCTACTCACAGCTCACTGAGTTTTTGGCAAAATTCCCAGGCATCAGGACTGATCCTGCTGATGGCATTTTGACTGAGATGGAGTTGCTGCAGCATCAGCAAGCCATAAAGCCAGCCTTTGGTTACCTCTGTTAAGTTGTTATGGTCCAGCTGCCTACAAACACACACAAACAGACAAAAGACATAAGGTTCAGAAACTCAGCAGCGGGCATGCTTTGCCACAGGTCCACATCTGACTTCATGACACTGGCTAGATAGCTGCAGCCTCTATTTACATCTAGAATTGTATACATGCATTCAGAATGTGCTGCCCTACACACTGACTACTGACTGATTGCTGTTTTTCAAATCACACCAAAACAATTTAATTCAAAGACATCTCTAAATTTTACCAGGAAATTCTATTAATTTTGTGTAATTCTACTTATATGTTATCAGCAGAACCTCCCAGCAGAAGTTTGATACTTACAAGACTTCCATGTTGGTCAATCCCCAGAAAGCACCATCCATGAGCCTCGTAACTCCATTTCTCTGCAGCTTTAATGATTTCAAAGCTGGAAGTCCTTGGAAAGTAAGCCCATCTATTTTTCTAATTTTGTTGCGATTCAGCTCCCTGCATCAATAAAATTTACAGTTACAGCACAGTAATTTTACCTGCAAGCCAAGAACCTTTCTTCCCTCTCTGGAAAAGAACCTTATTTAAATGCTTTTCTTGCACATAAAACAGACAAGAAGTAATAAAGATCAAAAATTTTATTGCAATCCATTATGTTTAACCATGCTAATACTGTTCTGCCTTTTTGATACTGAGGACAAGTACTTGGTAGTTCCTTGATTTTCAGACTTCAAGAATCCCTGTAGACCTAGAATGTCATGGTAAAGCCTGTTCACAAATTTAAAAGTGAAAGCAAGTTCCTGGTGTTTATCCCGGAGTAGAGCTGTTAAGGTTAGCTTGTAATTGCAACCAATAATCCATCAGAAAGAAAAACTTAACAATTTAGTTGTGATAACTAGGCAAAAATTAATGTCACCAGTGACCCCTCTCTTTCTTAATCTGGAGCCAAGCACTCATTAAACATTTCTTCCTCCTTCTCCACAACTAGTTACACAAAAACACCTTCCCTCTTTCTCAAACGGTCTTGGCACTCACCCTTCTGCCACTACACACAGCCTTTGCAGTGTTCTTATGACCTTGCACTTTCAAGGTTAACCTAAGAGAATTTGTAATTTTTAACTCTTGACTATCTGATATGGGAATTAATTATCCAGTATTTGCAAAGTGTAGCCCATCCTCTTGTCCATTTCCTGGACACTTTGTAAGTTTTTATTTAAAAAAAATTCCCCAGTCTCTTTCATATTAAGTAACTTTATTAAATAACTTCATTATTTATTTGATAAAACATTTATAGACAGCATTGTATCAATGAAGCTGAAGGTCTATTTACTCAAGCATATTGCTTATAGTCATACCTTCTGAAAGCAAGTGAATTTCCTTCATTTCACCATGAAAGAACAAAAGTAAATGACTGCTGCAGTGAACTATAAAAGTTTACTTCACTTACTATTTTCCCCAGGCTTTTTTACAGGAATATCGCTATTACCCCTTCCCCAGCCTTTTGGGTTTTTTTTCTTTTAATAGGCAAACAATTTTAAACACAAAGACTACTCACATCTCACCAACATATAAGACTAGTTTTGTTCACTACAGTGCTGCAGTTACAAAGGGTTGTAGTAATATATTTTTTGTATCTGTCTCACTGTGCCTCTGGTTAAGTTAAAGGCTAAAGTTCAAGCACTGCCAGTGCTTTGGAAAACCTGAAAACAATTAGTCAATTGTAGTTTGCACTTACAGGTGCTGCAGATGGGAGAGTTTAAACATCTTCTGAGGGATTGCTGAAATTTTGTTCCTGTTCAGTTTCAATACTTGAAGTGTGGTAGACAAGTTATCAAAGGTACCAGGCTCCATGGAGGTTATTCGATTATTGTTAAGATATCTGTTGAAATAATGCCTAGAAGTTATTTAATTATTATAGTTATTTATTAAATTCTTAATACCAAGTAGTGAGACACAAAGCTCTTGCAGTGCTTACTCATTTATAAATGGAATTTTGTTTATCATATTAATTAGAGTTCGACAGCTTATTCTATAGTCAAATACTATTTCACCACCACCCCTGCTCTAATCTGCAGGAGTGTGATACTAGAGGAAGATAATATGTTGCAATACCATTACTTTATTCTCATTCAGTATAGCTCCGGCATTCCATTATTCCTAAGAAAGATTCACAAAGTCTATCAAACTTCATGTAACTTCAAACTAGCCTAGCCATGGGGAACTTAAATTCATTTTGTTACATAACTATTTCTCTCAAGATACATCTATTTGTTTCATCTCAGGATAATGGCCTTTGCTTTTTTTATGAACAAAAACATCTTACTGTAACAACTCACATATTCAAGATAGTAGCTGATATTAAGCTGAACAGGTGAAAATAGCAATATTTAATGTCTGTTTAATTAAAAGATCTGAGTACCTTAACAAACAGCTGCCAATCTAAGTTTTCAAACAAGTTTTTTTGAAAGTAACCTGAAAGAAAAATGAAATAATACTAAGTTTCACTTACAGATACTTGAGGTGTAATGATGGAAATGATGACATTTTTAGTTCTGATATGTTGTTGTTGCTCAAGTCCAAAGTTTCTAGACTCTGAAATGGCTTCAGATGTTCAGACAAAACATTGGCAATCTTGTTACTGGTCCTGAAATTTAAGGGCAGTAGGCAAAAGACTGTCATTTCCAGAGTAAACATATGTTAACTACACAACCCTGACAAGAGTTAGTTCTTAATTCCCCTACTTGAAAATAATTTCTTGTTACATACAACTAATAAACTATGTTCTCTATACATAACACTAATTTTTAGCCATCTAAAAATCACAAACTGGAATACTCTAAGTGTTCATTAATATTTCTTAAAATATAATCCCAGTAAACAACAAAAAAATTGCAATATAATCCAATGACTACAAATCATTGCTTTTAAAACAAGATGCAAAACCTTATAATCATCTCTTTCTGAACAGTAGAAATACCTGGTATTTGCATGGAACAGTACGTCACAGTACTGTAATGAAATGAAATTAGAGTTGTTTTCTATTTTAAGCAAATTAATATCATAGGAGCTAGACATAGTGCTTCGGGTTTCTTGAAAACTCCCTTGGCATGAAAGTCAAGGCTGAATTTTCAGAAAAAAAGCAGAGCTAGAACAGAAAAGATGGATGACAGTGCACCCCTTCTGAAAAACATTCTATAATTGTGTAATTAGACCTAGTATTTCATCCTATAGATTTTTCTAGTGAATTGGCAAAGAACAAGATTTCTACTTATTAGAGCTCATTACAGGGGTTACGGACTTCATGTCTGGTCAAACTTCCGCTAAGCATCACATCCAATTCAACAACAAGAAGGCTGCAACTGTTTAAAGACAGGGATATCCTAGTCTGCTATAAGGAACACCCCTTCTTTCACTTCCACTGGCATGTACTTTTTCCAGCGACCATACTTCCGGTTCATACCCAGCAATCTACCAGTTTTTCCATCTCAGCTGCAGGTACAGAATCATACATGCATATCAGCAACGTTAACAGGGTTATTTTGGGGGAGCTAACAGTACATAGGTGAGGGCAGACCATGACCAATTAAACAAACGTTACCTGAAATGACCCTTGTTACACTGGGAAGTTCAAGTCAGTTTAGCTGTGGTATATCCTGTACCTTGTATGATGAACTATCAAAATTTCGGAGCTTCCCCAGCTCCTAGAGATTGTACGCAAAAGCACTTTCAGTAAAACTATCAACAAGAATGTTGATTCTGGGAGATGTTTGCCTTTGTTGGAAATACTTGCTCTGGATCAAATAGTAAGCCACACACGTATTCAAAGGGTGTGGGGGGACTACTGCTCAAGACAAAAAATTCTTAACTCAGAAACTGAACCAGAAGTTAGATTAATGGGCCCTCTGACCACATGTGGGAATGGGTAAGTGATCTTGCAGCCCCTCCAATGCTGAGCTTGTATCATGTTTCATTCCTCAGGCTGTCTGCAGAGGTACACTGCATTTTTTTAACTCTTAGCTGAAAGTATTTATAACAAATGGAAACAAATTACTTTAATAAAAAACAACAAACACCACCACCATGTGTCAGTTCCACTGGCCAAATAAGACTGTGAGTTAGATAACAGGTCACAGAGCCTTGCCATTATGCATTAGTTTGTTTATAAGGTAATTACTATCAAGGTATTAAAACTGCCAATTACTTGAGTGACGAATAAAATTTTCCTTGCAGTAAAAGTGTGCTCCAGCAGAAGCCAGCAATTTCCTGAACTGCACGCCTCCTAAATTGCAGTGTGAAAGTGTTCAGTTATAAGACGGCTTGCACAGTGCTGTCTTTGTGTCAGCACTGCTCCATAAAACAGAAATTCCTCACAACTGGCAGGATAATAGCTCCTGTATTACAAAGTTTAGTTGGACCTAATGGAACCGAATAAAACTCATACACAACCTTCAGATTAGCACTTACACTAACTGGCAAATTACCTGACACAGACCAGGTTACACAAAAAACAACCCTTTGTTTCAGGGAACATTTTTCTTTATCGGAGATGGTAAGGCCATACTGTGGAAAGAAAAGCAACTTCTTTTGTTCACTGAAACTGCACTACACATTGAAGTCCTAGTCCATCTTAAAACAAAAACAAACCAGCCCTCACTGCACCTTCCTGCTTACTCATATTTGTAGAAGTTACTCAATTCCAAAATAGCTCAATGGTTCACTCCCTATTGCTCCAATAGCCTCGTCCAGCTTCTCTTAAAAATATTTAAGAGTGATCATTCACACATGGAAGGAGGTTATTCAGCACTGAAGACATCCAAGTAGTTCTACTTTAAGGCCCAACTTTAGTTAAAATGGAAAACTTCAACTCTAATTTAATTTTTCTTTATAATCATCACTTAAGCAAATCGAATAAAAACGACATATCATCTTCCTCATAACTGCCAAATCACCATTACAGTTAGTCAAGAAGGAGATGTTTGAAAACACAAGCCTATCTAATTGTCAAGATAGAAAGAAATAGTATGTCAGCATAATGACATAACAATTTGTTCACTGAGAGGAGGTTGGGGGGAAGAAACCCCAAAACAAAACCTTTCCAGAGAAATGCTGTTATTGCTGTGCTCAGACAAAAGGAGTTGCACACAGCCCATTGGCTTCATTTCACAGACATTAAAGGGAAATTAGAGAAACAGAGATCCTCTGCAACAAGAGAAGCAGCACATCAAATTCCCCCAGAAGTAGACCTGTAGCAATTTGATAACTATTTCTTCATGTGCAGGGAACAGCAACATGCTGCAGCTTCCTTTCAACTTCTCCTGTTACAGCTAAAGCAGCAGGAGCATCAAGCAATGCAGATAAACCCACCAAAAATATCTGCATGAATTTGAACATGCCTTTTGCTATTTGAGTGCCTATACCCTGACTTGGAGCAAAAAAACCCCACAAGCCAATGACCCGTGAGTGCATACAGCCTGATTTAATTACTTTTACCTAGGCCTGTGCGAATACCAGCCTCAGACAGAATATCAGTTTTTCATTACAGGTATGAAAAACCTTAGCTTTGCCTCTCAGTATTTATAACTTTACCACACCACTAGGCCAAAACATATAAAAGAGCCCTATCAATCATGATCTCAAGATTCACTCTATATAAACAACGGCTACAACATATCTGATATATTGACTGTACTTTCCTTGCCTCTGGGGAAATACAAAGCAGAACGTAAACTTCTGTAACCATTTTGTTGAGGATCTAGTTAGTACCTTTTAGACATAAAAGTTCTTAAGTGCTGAAAAAAAAAACCAGTTTTTTTAAGATCTGAGATAGTATGACTATCTCTTGATAAAGGTTGCCAGTATGAAATGTTTTCTACCTCAGAGAAATACTGCGTAAGCTTTATAACTCTGATCCTGTAACATGGAAAACGCAACTCATGAACAGATTAGGACCTCACGTCCTATCTTTTGTTTCTATTTGAAATCTCAGAATAAAAATAACACTCTTGTACTTCCACCTCAGCATAACTCTTTCTTCCAGATAGATCCTGATCTGCTGTGCTTTGAAAACCTTAGTAGTATCATCCTGACAGGGAAAATGTGTAGAAGCATCGAGGTGGAGCAATCTGGAATAAACAAGTTGTCTAGAAAGACAATTTTGGAGAACTATGTTTGTGCAGACTGTTCTTCAAAACTGTAAGATGTAAAACAAGTGTTTTAACATCTATGTGATTCTGGACTAATACAGTACCTCCTGTCCCTCAACTAAGCTTTGAGAGGCAAGATATACTGAATCTGAATCTCAAACAAATGAAATCACAGTAGTCTCTTGCTGGAGACTAAGAGGCTAGGTAAAGAGAAAAAAAAGCACTCTGCTAGGGTTAGATGTATCTTTCTGAGCAGTGCTGAATCCAAGACACTGGGGTTCACAGATGTTTAGTTTGACCATTTTGCGTTTGCATGACTTCCAGAATAGAGCTACTTTGGAGGCAGCCTTATCAGAGCACAAGCAAAGCAGACCTGACTGTCCACATCCAAGAATGTTCCCAGTGGTCTCCATTACGTGCCACTACAGCTCACAGCCTCCCTTTAAATTTTTGTGGTTGTTTCATTTATTCTTCCCTCCACTCACTGACTGACATCACATGCCTCCTGGCATATCATCTATTGTTTCCTGTACTCCCACTCCTGCCCTCCCAAACTCCAAACTCCTGTAAGAAACAATGATGTCAACACACTGAGCAGAAGCAAGTTTAAGCAAAAAGATTAAAAAAAAAGGTACTAAAGGTGAAAGATCAAGACTGTAATTGAAAGTGTTGGAATACATATGTTTTGTGGCTTTTAGCCTAAGACTGGACAATTTTAAGGAGCACAGACCAGAAGAGTCTCAGTAACTACTACAAGAATAAAGAGCAAAAAGGTTCTTTTTTTCTTCAATTTCTACTCACTTGACTACTAAAATTAGCCCAACTGTAATTAACAATTACATCATTTAAATACTGAAATTATGGTTTCAAGCTGAACACTATTCTTATCAAAAAGCCCCTGATATCACAGGTTATTCTGAGTTGGAAGGGACTCACAAGGATCATTGAGTCCAACTCTTAAGTGAATGACCCATACAGGGGATTGAACCAACGACCTCAGTGTTATTAGCACCAAGTTTTAACCAACTGAGGTTATCTTGAATACCTAATGAGACTACATGCTTATCTCACCATTAAGATACTTAACCACACTGAATTAAGAAAATCTAGGGTTTTTTTAATCTTTGCAACTGTTAAACATAGAAATATTTCAAGTGATACTGTTTTTCTCCAAGATAAAGCTGTCAGAAATGGAACCAGAATTCTGGCTCACTTCCAGTTCTACTGGTAGGTCTACAAGTCTGATGCATCTTTCACACACAAGCTTCTTGAGGCAAGAGGTTGTACTTCCTTTTAAAGGTCTCCTTCATTTCATGATCCCTGCCTCTAGTTGTTCTTTCAATGCAGATGTCAGCAAGTCTCTGCTTTTACATTTTGTGGGTTTTTTGGTATGCAGGTATAAAGTAGAAAATGAAAACTCAGAACTCTGTAGGTTACTGATACCCTGTCCAAAACTTGAAACCAAAGATTTATTGATTCCCAAATCAAACAAACTGGGAAA